CACCTTAAAATAAGTTGCTCATATTCATAAAACACACAATCAAAGTTAAAGTTTAACTCACTACATCTGCTTCGATAAATCCTTATCAGATGTGGTTCAGTGTTATCACACCATGAGGAAGAAAATACAGTATGTGACCTTATAGATACACCATAGCTGAAAAACAGAACCAGAAGGTAGAATGAGAAAGAAATTACTCCTTATTTTGAGCAAATGAAATTCCTCTGTCAAATGTCATTGAAGTTTACATAAATTAACAGAACAGTAGTTACATCACATTCTTTGGAAAATATAATGAACAATATAAGCAATAACAGCTATATGTCTACCAAAACTAAATGTTTATGACCAGAACAAAATGCTGCTTCGTTATGTCTTGTCCCTGAGTGTCTAAAGGTGAATTCAGTCATGAATGTGGCCTTTGATTTTATTACCCACTATCACAGTTTTATCTTGTTTTATTTGCCCAGGCTTCTTTACAGGAAAGAAGGAATGAGGATGTGTCTGATGATTTCTGAGAAACAGTTTGATGCATGTGATCAATAGTAATAAATATTAGCCTATAAATATAAAATAATATTTGGAAAATTTACAAATGAGATCAGGATCTAGAAATTACGTACATGGATGAAATCATACAACCCCAATTCTAGAAAAGTTAGGACATTTTGTGATATGCCATAAAATCAAGAATATGTTATTTGTTAATTCTCTTTAACCTTTATTTAACTGACTAAAGTACAAATAACAATTTCCAGTGTTTTCACTGGCCAACTTATTATATTGTAGATATAAACACATTGTGATTTTGATGGCTACAAAACACTCAAAAAAATTTGGGAAAGAGGCATGTTTACCACTGTGTCAAATCACCTTTCCTTTTAATTACACATTTGAATCATCTGGGAATTTAGGATGCTAATTTTTGCTTGATACAAGCTTGATACAAGACTTCACCTGCTCATCAGTTCATAGTCATTGTTGTCTGATTCTCCTTTTCATGATGGGCCATACATTTTCAATAGTAGACACATCTTCTGGCCAGTCAGTCACATCCACATGTGTCTACAGAACACTGTTGTATCACATGCAAAATAAGACCTGGCAATGTTTTGATTTAAAAACCATGGACTTCCCATGAAAGATGTCATCTTGATGGCAGTATATGAGTGATTCTATAATTGCAGGTACATTTGGTGTCCAAAGTCATTATTTTTTTTCTGCTTTTTTCAAATGGTTATAGTTTTCAATTATTTTAATACTGTGTTACTCATTGTTATGAATTACAAGATGTTACAGTCCATAACAATATAATATTTTTTGCAAAAAGTGTCTTAAATAGCGGAAAATCATGATTTCTTGTTGTGCGAATTAGTCAGTGCATTTTTTCCATCATGTATCACTGTGTAATCAAAATATTTTATTGTAATTTTCTTTTTGTAATATTTCATTCATTTTATTTATAAAAGCCCTAAAGAGTAATTTACCTAATTCTACAACATTATTTAAAAAATATATATATATTTCTTTCTTATAAAAATGTGTGTCCGTAAATCTTGCGTCAACTCTGTTACCGTACCATACTTTGCCTTTAAATTAGTGGAATTATCTCCCACAACTATGTAAGATACAGGAAATGATGTCACTTTCCTCTCTGTTAAGATCTGAAGCACTGAAAAGTCTATGTGCTCTCTCTAAGAAAATATTTAAATCTAAAAGTTCTTACACCAAAAGTTATTTTATAAAGTGTCAAATCTGTTACCACAATATCAAAAGGAAAACAGATTTTTT